AGCCTGGACATGCACGGCGTATCTGCTTCCATGGACCTTAAGTCCGAGCACGTGTTGAAGCCTCACGTCGGACCGTTCGAGCCGCTCCTTCTCCAAGATTTCTCGTGCATCTAGAGGCAGGGCCGTCTCGCACTCTGTGAGCCATGTGTGTAAAGGCGTGCCGGTGTCCCGCGGCAGTAGCATGTGATTCTGCGCTTGTGCCAAGGCGTTCCGTGGGTCTAGCGTGAGGGAGGAGAGGAGCAGCGCCGCCTGTGTGAAACTCGCCGAGAAACCGTATATCCCCTCTATCAGAGGGTCAGTGATGCCTATGCCTCCCAGCGATGGCGGCAGCGTCGCTTGGTCCCAGACTCGCGCTTGCTCGGTCCTACACGTGGGGACGCGTATGTCGCATGATGTGAGCAGGGCGGTGAGAAGGTCCCTTCCCCACTGGCTCCATTTTTCGCGGGGGAGAAAATGCAGGGGAGTCGTCCTAGAGAGGTAAGCTACCCGTCTAGAGATACATCGCGTGATAAGCAGTGCCGCTACTTGGGGGTCAGTTCGTTCGATAAGGGGTAACGGCTTCGCCATCTCGTCGAGTTGACCCGCTAGATACTTAGCTGCTCCACTATCCGGCCCAAGGAAACTACCCAGGAGCCTCACGCCGTCCTTAGAAAAAGGCACTCCATGCGGGAGTTGAGCTTGCTCGACTGCACCTGATCGCCAGGCTGCGCACTTCTGCGGATTGTGCGTAAGGCCCAGTTGTGCCAGCTTGTTAGTGAAGGTGTTGAAAGCTGCTACAGTGTGGGCTGTGTCACCCAGAAAAAGTGACGTCGTCCGCATACGCCAAGCAAAGCACGTCGGGGTTTGCTTCTGCAACTTCGCGGAGGGTGGTGTGTATCCCCGCTGCAAACAGAAGTGGGCCAAAGGGGTCACCCTGGCGAACGCCGCGTTCACTTGTCAGCGGTTCGGAGTTGAAGTTGGCGTCCAGGAGTAGTTGCGACGGGTTACCGTATGTGAGTTTCACTAGCGGCAGCAGTGGCGATAGGGCGGGCTCCTGTAACGCGGTGGCGATGGCTTCACGCGAAATGCAGTTGAACGCGTTCGAAATATCCGCCTGCAGGACCAGGCTGTCTGAGCGGGCATCCAAGTATGCCCTGGCTGCGTGGATTACTGCCTCTGCACCACCTGGCACTGCCACCCCGAACTGTAGCGGTAGAAAGAATTCGTAGGCCGCCTCTCCCATGGCCTGTAGGGCAGCCTTGGCTGCCAGCCTCGTCAGACATTCGCCGATCGCGATTGGCCTAGCCCCTCCCCCCGGCTTGGCGAGGGCTATGAGTCGTGACGCAGTCAGAAGGTTCGCGACCGAGCCTGGCAATTTTCCACCCAGCATGGTGTTAACCAAGGCGTGCAGATGGGTGTTCACCATTGCATTGGTAATTGCCGCGTCGCGTAGGTGCTCGAACGTCATGCCTGACGGTCCGGCTCCCACCCCATTTTCGCATCTTCCCAGAATTTTGGCGAGGTCGGGGTAGGGGATTGACAGCTTTGACCCTTGTGGCATGGGCCATGTCACCGCCTCGTGTTCAGCAGGTGGGTGCTTTTGGTGCAGCTCCTCCAAAATTTCCGGGCTGGGAGTGCAAACTGGCGTTGACTCCAGGGCAAGCACGGCCCGATGCAGACTGCCACGTTTCGCCAGGCCCTCCGCACGACTGATGACTCCGGTCGCGTCTGGCTGGTGTTTTGGCGGTGGCGGTGAGTTGACTGCGTCCAACGCGTCCTGGTACAACTGCTCCCATTCGCCACGCTGGAAAGCCCGGAGCCGGGATTTCACACGTGGCCAGTTCGGTCGCTGCGGCGAGGTCTGGCGAAGTGTTAGACGCCGGAGAAACAGCAGCAGGCGCCAGGCCGTTTCCGACTCTGGGTTTCGCGATAGGTGCAGCAATGGTGTCAGGAGTGCTAGCGAAAACAGCTGGCACAGATTTGGCGGTAAACGCCGCGACAGTGAAGGCTGACGACTGTCGCAAAGAGTTGCGGTGTCCCAATTCACGATGGCAGCGAACAGGTCTGTCCGCTTCGCTAATTCGTCTTGTGAAAAGTAGCGGGAAATTGGTGTTGTAGGGCGTGTCGCACTACCAGCAGCGGTGGTTCGATTTCGCCCAGCGCGGCTCGGCCTCGCTGGTGGGCTCAATGTTGGAATTGCAGTCGTCCGATCGGCATCGGACGGAGCTTGAGCCATCTGTGGTACTTGCAAAGAAGTCTGCCCTACCGCCGCATCCCTTCTCCCTGGTCTCTCCCTCGCCCTGCCTTCCTCTTCCGTCTCTTCGTCCTCGCTCGTAGGGAGGGCTTCCTCCCTATATGTAGCGTCGTTAAGCTCGTCGTCCTCATTAGTCGCTTCCAAGTCATTTAAAGCCGTTCTTGCCGCTGCCTGATACCCGTTCTCCGGCCCTCCGCCTGTCCCGCTTACAGCTTGTCTCCTAGCCCCGCGGCCTCCCCGCTCCTGCGATGGTGATTGCTGGTGTGACTGAGCCGTCGCCAGGGCTCGTTGCCGCCTGGTCGGCTGTGGCCGCCAAGCCTCCGGCGGAGCCCGAAAGGATGACCATGGCGACGAAGCCCCCTGTACCGCCAGCTCCGAAACCCTCGACAACAGCCTCTGAAAGGACTCCTCCCCACGCACCAGCGGATTGATAGACAAAGGAAGTACAAACATGCATGAGGCTAAACATTATCAATTGCTAACACAACACCAACTAACCATCTAGTCTCTCTCTCTCTCTGTCTCAAGCGGTCCTTCATTGATGTATAGGAGGGTACAGGCAAGGCAATGGTTGGTCCGAGCAAGCAGTCAACAAGCAAACCACAACCCTAGGGTACAAGCAACCAGGCAAGCATGGTACAGGACTCATGGTCTAACCCTAGGCAAGCGAGCAAGCACCTCAGCGGGCAAGCCTCCTATACCCCATTGCAGGTAGGCCCAAGGCAGGACTGTCCACCTAACTATAGGCTGACATGCCTGCCCCTTGTCTCCCCAGGCCCTCCTTTTACTCTCCCCAGCTCCAGTCCTGGGCCATCCCATCCTCCAGGACCTGCCACAGGTCACCCAACCGCGGCTCCCAAGGGTCGCAGGGGGCCTGTGGGTATGCTGCCTCCGCCGCCCTGTTCGACTTGGCGAGCAGGGCGTTGGGTTGGCAGCGCTGGAGTGGCACCGACCATCGTTGTCGGTAGTGGGAAGTGAGCTTCGAGGCAACTGTGGTTGACCTCCCCTGCCTGTACATCTTCTTGGCCCCGGACGTGCCGAGGAGCCTGAAGAAGCGCTGTGTGTCCTTTGCCATTGCCCCGTAGGTCTCCACCGCCATCCCAAAACACCCCACCCATCCCGGCCTTCCCGTGTACATGCCATGCTTCGTCCTTGCCGCTTCCTCCGCCGCCCAACCCAGCGGCTTCACTGCTCGCTTATCCCGACGTTGGAGCACGGGACCTGTCACAGCAACGTCCGTCACCCAGGTCTCCCCCAACTCTTTGTCACGAATGATCAAATCCGCCCGTTTACGGTTGGTTATGGGGCTGAAGATAGCCGATTCGTGCAAAGTAAGGAAATCCGCCTCCTTTGCCATGCGGAGGGCTGAGTACACCAGTGCGTTGTGCGTTATTGTGCGGTCTCCCCCCTCCGCACACCTCAGTAGATGGTTCGGGAGACTTCTGTCGCCTATCTTCGCCCTCGCACCTCGGCACGGGCAGTTGTCCGTGACCGCCAGTTGGAGACCTAGGCGGAGGCCCACCGCAAGCACATACTGCCCCGGGGAGAAGGTGAGGTATTCCCGCGTCGGTATGGCGTGCAGCCAATCCCCCGCGCCTGCCCCTTGGAGGCTTAGCAGGCGTAAGACATGGCCGTTGTCCACGCCCGGTTTGTCCATCCTCGTGTCACCCAGCAGCTCCGCCGCCCGCTCCGTGTTGATGTGCTTTGACAGTAGCAGTTGCAAGTGCCCCTTCCCGTCCCCTCATTCCAGGTACGCCTGCAGCGCCGCCCGTGCTGTTGCTGGTAAGCGCGCCCACATGTCCCTGCGGATGTCTTCCCTGTTGTTCCTCTGTTCCCCCGGCTCTGGCGACACCAGCTGTGCCGCCCTTATCATGGGGTTGCCTGGCGCTAGTGGGAGCAGGCGGAGGAGGGCATGGGCTGCCGTTAGTGACGCTAGGTACTCTGCTGGGGCCTCGGAGCGCGGGTCTATCAGGCCCAGGCCTCCCAGGGCCACCGGTAGCGTCGCCTAGCGCCACAAGAGACTCTGTTCCATCTCGTCCGCCGGTGTATAGAGGTGCGCCGCTTTGAGGATTTGTCCATAGTAGTCGCTTACTCCAATCGCGCCATTCCGCCAGCGAGATGAGGTCGGCCGGTGTTGTGCGGAGCAGATATGATGCTCTCCTCGAGATGCAGCAGGAGAGGACGAGCATGGCGTGCTGGGGGTGAAGTCCACTGATGAGGTCCAGTGGCGCGGCGATTTTCTCCAGTGCTGTCCGTACGAAGTTCCTCCCAAAGGCCACGGATCCAATGGGGCTCCCGAGCACTTTGATGCCGTCCACTGCAGCGACAAGTCCCGCTGGTAAGTTGTCGAATACGCCCGCCGGGCTCCATGCCGAGGATTTCGCCAAGTTGCATCGCAACCCATAGGTGTGCAGTTCGTTGGTGATCAGTATCATCGCTCGACCCGCCAACTCTGGATCTCCTACCAGGGTGATGTCGTCCGCGTATGCCATCACTACCACTGAAGGGAATCCATCTGCTGCTTTCAGAAGCGCCGGTTGTATAGCTGCCGCGAATTGCGTTGGTCCGAGTGGATCTCCTTGTCTCACACCCCTCGTGCTCTCAATGTGGCTTGTAGAAAACCCTTCGTCGAGGAGCAGCCGTGACGGGCTCTCGAACAATGTGCGTACGAACAGGACGATGGGGTGCAGTCCCGACCATCTAAGTGATGTGAAGAAGCTCCTCCGTTCTACCAAATTAAAGGCGTTCTCGATTTCTAGTTCCAGTGCTACTCGCGTTGGGTCTTCCTTGAGTAGCGCCCGTGTCGAGTGGATGATACACTCTGCTCCTCCTGAAACTGAGACGCCAAACTGCACCGGCATGAAGTATTTCCTGATCTGGGGCGTGAGTTCCCGTAAAGCTATCTTAGCCGTTAGTCGAAGCAGAGCTTCGCCTATGACTATTGGCCGGACTCCCCCGTCAGGTTTCTCTAAGGCTATCAGGCGGGACGGTAGAAGTAGCTCTTGAATATCCTCTGGTTGTTCCTTGCCAAGCAGATTGTTGACCACTTCGAGCAGAAGTGTCAACACTTCCCCAATCGCCAGTGCTGCTTCACGAAGGTGCTCGAAACATGTTTTTGTTGGGCCCGCGCCGATCCCATTCGGGCATTTCGCCAACACCTCGCAGAGCTTGTCGGTTGTCGTGGCGAGGGTTGACACCTTGAACCCTGTTACCCAGTCTGGTATCACGGTCGTCGCCGCTGGGTGTTTTGTCAAAGGGATTCAAATGTCGTCGGCGTGGCTTCCGCGAGGGGTGACGATTGTAACGCTGAGATTGCCTTTGCTAGGTTCGCTTTCTGTACCAGCCCCTTTGCTCTCGATCGTAATCCCTCGGGGTCTGGCTGGTGTTTGCTCGGTTTGGGGTTGTTTGGTATGGTTTTGGCTTCCATGAACAGTAGCTCCCACTTTTTCGATAGGTTTTGTTGGAGTCTGCCTTCAATCTCCTGCCAGTGGTTTCCGCAGTTGGGGTCAGTATTGGCGCGGAGTGTCAAACGTGGCAGAAAAAGCAGGACCCGCCAAGCTCCTTGGCACATGGGGTTTTTCCTCAGTCGCTGGAGCGGAATGACGAGGCATGCTGCGAATGAATTCACCACCCCAGGTGTCAATCTCCTCGCCACGAAAGGATGGTCGCTGCTCCGAAGGCAGTCCACGTCCCACTCCTCCACCTGTTGCCAGATGGCTTCATCGCCATCAATCGTTTCAGGGGGACGATTCTCCCTCACCTCCGCACCCGCAGGATGGTCAATCGGGACTTCAGGCTGCGGTACCTCATTCTGCTGCCTGCCCCCAGTCCTCCCGTTTCCTCCCCTCCGTGCTCCCCCAGATCTCGCGTTCCCCTGGTGGTTGCCCACCCCCGGCTCATCCTCTAGCGAGACCTCCTCTGATTCTCCTTCCTCCGAGGCCATATAGGCCTCATCCTCTTCTCCACTGTCAGTCTGAGCGGGCCTATCAGCGTTCCCTTCTTCTGACACCACCTCTGTCCTCCCGTGCCTTTCCCGCCATGGACCAGATCTGACTCGCTCCCGAGCGTTGACCGCCCTCCCCCATTGCCCCCTTCCCCTTGGGGCCCCGCGCCCTCGTGCCCGTCCTCGCGCTCGCCCTCATGCCCGTCCCGCCGCCCTTGGCGGTAGTGGTTCCTCCCCCTCCGCTGGTACCTCCGCTGCCTCCTCCTCCTCCGCCGCCGCCGATGACGGGCAAGGCCGGGAAGGCCCCTCGACGTGAGGTCGTGGTTGGAAGGTCTGACACTCCCACCTCCGAAAGGGCCCAGGGAGGCAGGTGCCAGCCCTGCTCCGAGCCGCCGTGGACTTGGTTGAAGCTGAATCGAGGCGGCGGATCAGGGCATGGGCGGCGTTCCCAGCCGGACTCTCGCGGCCCCGTGTATCACCCGCCACCCGGTCGTACGCCCTACTACCTGGGTCAATCCTTCCGCCATCCTCGCCGTCCCCGCCATCAGCCGTGGCGGCCGAGGCCGTTCCATTCTCCCCTGCGGCAGGCTCTTCGATCGCAGCAGACAACTCCTCCACCACCGTTGCCTCCGCAGCCGGCCCAGCAGCCGCCGGTGCCAGTCTAGAATCCGTCACCGTCTCTCTAATTACAGCCCCCACCTCTGCAGGTGCAGGAGGCTCTTCCCCTTCCACCGTCATCCTTGCACCAGCCGCCTCAGCACCCGCAGGCGCCTCCTCCACCGTCCATTCCGGTGCTGCCGTCGATGTTGACACCGGCTCCTCCTCCTGTCGCAGTCCATCACGTGGTTCAGGCTCCGCCTCCGACCGCTCCTCCTGCCCAGACTCCCCGGCGCCAGCATCCCCTTCTTCCTCATCCCCGTCCTTCCGCGGCTCGCTTTGGTGTGGTGAGTCGTTACCTTCCCCCACTGCAGGTGTTGTCCCTTTGGTCAGCACCTTCCTTCCCGCTTTCCCGGTTCTTTACTTTGATGACTTTCCCCGTGTGTGTTCTCCCTTACCGGGTTGATCGTCTCCCTGCCCGTCGCTTACTCCTCGGTGTGCCATCCGTCCAGGTGTTGTTGCAGCCAGGCGAGCGATACCGCGAGTAGGACGAGCTTGAGACGCCCGGGACTGCACGAGACCCTCAGTTGGAGTGGTGGAACCTTGGTTGGCCGAACTGGGTGGGGGCGCGGGTGGATGGAGCCCCAGGGTGAGGCCGAGTATGCTGAGCACGGGGAGCGCCTGTCTCAGGTCGGGTGCTGCGTGACACGCCTCGCGACTGTGCTTGAGCAGTACCACCTCGCCATGCAAGATCGGCTACTCGTCGCCCGCGATCCGCAGCTTGATGAGATTCAGCAGGGGCTGGTTCGTGGGGCACTGTCTGATGCGATGTGGGAACTACTCCATCTGCCGTTGGAGCCGGAGGATGTTGAGCTGGATGATGGGCCTGGAGCCTCGGCTTTCCGCAGGGTAGCCACGGCGGCAGAAGAGTTGCCATTGGAGATGGTCCCTGCGATTGCGTCCTTGCTCCAGTGGCTTGGGCGGCGGGTGAAGCTGATGTAGTGGGGTCTCCCGCCTTTGGGGCAGGCACTTGCTTCTTGTTCCCCATTCCGGGGACTTACCTTTAGTTGTCCTTTGTTGTGTGTTTACAGACCCATGTTGTAATGCCGCCTCAGAGTTGCAAGTTGTCGTTGTCTGCACCCTCCCCCTTTCCTTGCCACACCTCACGCGCAGCCGAAGGCCGCGCCGGCGAGCGGCGGCCGCCAAAGGCGGCCGAAGCGAGCAGCCGGTTTTGGAGAGTGAACCCAACTCACCAGTGAATAATGAGCTCAGAAAGCTAGATCCAGGAGCTTTATATTAAGGAAACTAGGCACGAAACGGCTAAGGACTGGATACCAAGGTAGAGAGGCCTCGAAACGGCTAAGAACTGATGCTAGGCCATCTCTCTCTCTCTCTCTCTCTCTCTCTCTCTCTCTCTCTCTCTCTCTCTCTCTCTCTCTCTCTCTCTCTCTCTCTCTCTCAAGCGGTCCTTCATTGATAGTATGTAGGGTACAGGCACAGCATGTGAGAATCAGCCATCCTAGCATGCAGTCTAGCTAACAGGCTAGCAAGCAGGCAATCAAGCAAGCAAGCAACAACCCGTACCCACCCTGCTAGTCGGCTCGGCTAGCCAAAGCCTACTGAGTGCCTGTCACCCTGGCACCGCTGCCCGGGGTCCCCTTTTCTCCAGCCCCTCACACATCCATGGCCGCCCCCCAGTCCATATCATCTTCCAGGACCTGCCAGAGGTCCCCTAGGCGGGGCTCCCACGGGTCATCTGGCGCCTGGGGGAAGGCCCGTTCCGTTGCCCTATTTGATTTGGCCAGCATGGTATTGGCCTGGCTGCGCTGTAGCATTACCGACCAGCGCTGCCGGTAATGTGCAGTGAGCTTGGAGGCAACCGTAGTAAGCCTCCCCTGTCTGTACTTCTTCTTGGCCGCCGATGTTCCTAGCATGCGTAGGAACTTCTGGGTGTCCCGGGCCAGGGCCCCATAGGTCTCCACCTCCAGGCCGAGCACTCCAACGAAATCCGGGCGTCCCTCGTACATGCCCCTTTTCCCCCTCGCCGCGTCCTCTGCCGCCCAGCCAGGTGGCTTCACTGCCCTTGTGTCTCGACGCTGCAGCACTGGATCAGTCACTGTGACGTCGGTCACGTAGGTTTCCGCTGACTCCTTGTCCTTGATGACCAAGTCCGCTCGCTTGGGGTTAACAATTTGCGAGAAGGCCGTGGTCTCATGGGCGGTCATGTAGTCAGCTTCGTTGCCCATCCGTAGTGCCGCGTAAACCAGGATGTTGTGTGTGTTCGTCCTATCCTTCCCCTCCGCACATCTCAGCAGGTGGTTGGGGAGGCTTCGGTCCCCTATCTTGGACCGTGTCTTCCCGCACGGGCAGTTGTCCATCACTGCTAAGGTGAGGCCCAGCCGGAAACCCAGGGCCATTGCGAACTGGCCCGGTGAGAAAGTAAGGTCCGCCCGTGTGGGGATAGCGTGGAGCCAGTCCCCCGCTCCCACTCCCTGCAGACTGATCAGGCGGACAACGTGGCCGTTGTCTTCGCCTGGCTTGTCTACCCGCGCGTCCCCCACCAGCTCCGCTGCACTGTCCATGTTTATCAACCTGGAAAGGTGTTCCTGCAGTCGTCCTTTCCCCTCCCCGCCCCTGTCCGTTGCCCGTAGCAGCTCCCTTGCCGCTTCGGGGAGTCTGTTCCATAGATCCCTGATAGATGTCCCTCCTTCCCCCGTGGCTCCGTCCCCGTGTGGTGACACCAGTGCCGCCACGCGCTGCAGGGGGTGGCTGGGAGTTGCTGATACGTGCTGAAGGAGAATCTGCGCTGCCTGTAGTGAAGCCAGATATGCCGCAGGTGCCTCTGAGAGTGGGTCTATGAGTCCCAGACCCCCTAGCGCAATTGGCAGTGTCGCCTGCCTCCACACCAAGCTCTGCTCCAGTTCCTTGCTCGGTGTGTGTAGGTGCGCCACTTTCAGCGCTGTCCCCAGGAGTCTCTCGCTCCATTCCCTCCATTCTCTGCGGGGGAGAAAGTCCGCGGGTGTTGTCCGCAGGAGGTACGAGATCCTGCGCGAGATGCACCGTGAGAGGAGTAGCAGTGCATGTTGCGGGTGGAGTTTGCCGATGAGCCCCAACGGTGCTGCTGTGGCCTCGAGTGTCCCCCTGATGGTGCGCTGGCAGAATGGCGTAGTGCCTATAGGGCTCCCTAGCACTCGAACTCCATCCACTGCTATAGCCAGGCCTTCCGGGAGTTGGCCTGTAAATCCCGATGGGCTCCAGGCGGACGATTTGGTGAGGTTGCATCGTAGGCCGCAGGCTCCCAATTCGTCCTGTATCTTGTTTAGCGCCCTTGATGCCCTCGCCGGATCGCCCACGATCGTGATGTCGTCCGCGTACGCCATCACGGTCACCGTTGGATCTGCCTCTGCCGCTGCTAGGAGCACCGGTTGGATGGCCACCGCGAATAGCATTGGTCCTACCGGGTCTCCCTGCCGCACTCCCCGTGCACTGTTGATGTGAGGCGTGTCGAACCCGCTATCCAGCAGTATTTTCGATGGGGCGACGTAGAGTGTACGTGCTAAAGGCAAGAGCGACACCAGGCCGGTCCATTGAAGTGTCGAGAGGAAACTTCCGCGTTCCACCGAGTTGAACGCGTTTTCGATGTCTAACTGTAGGATTACCCTCGAGGGTTCCTCCGCTACTAGCGCCCTTGTCGAGTGAATGATGCACTCCGCTCCTCCCGGTACCGCCACTCCAAACTGGACGGGTAGAAAGTACTCCCTGATTTCCCCCGCCAGCTCCTTTAGCGCTGCTTTGGCCGTCACTCTGAGCAGTGCCTCCCCTATCGCGATCGGTCGTACACCTCCATCCGGCTTTTTCCAAGGCGATTAGCCGGGATGGGAGCAGTAGCTCCTGTACTGCCTCGTTCTGATAGGTGCTTAGCAGCCGATTAACTACCTTGTGTAGGAGGGCGAAGACCGCCCAGTTGGTTAAGGCAGGGTCGCGTAAGTGCTCGAAGCACGTCCCAGATGGCCCTGCTCCTATCCCGTTTGGGCATTTCGCCAATACTTCGCGAAATGACTCGGCACTAATTGCGAGCTCGGAAGTTGCGTAACCTGCGGGACCCTCCGGTGTCGCCAACTCTTGGTTTGGGTGTTTAGAGAGGAGAGCTTCCAGCGTAGTTTGTGAAGGCTCGGCCAGTGGCGAGGTGTGTAATGCTGCTGTTGCTTTCGCCAGGTTGGCTTTCCGTACCAATCCTTCTGCTCTGGCGCAGATCCCTTCAGGGTCCGGTTCGTGCCTGTCTGGTTTTGAATTTGGGGGGAAGGTGCTGGCCTGGGTGTACAGTGCGTCCCACTCCTCTTCTCGGAACTGTCAAAGTCGAGCCTCAACCGTCTGCCACCTGTTTCCCGGGGCTGTCTCCATGCCTGCCTGTAATGTAAGCCTGGGGAGAAATTGCAACATCCGCCACGCACCAAGGCAATCTGGATGCTTCGATAGTCGCAGGAGTGGTACGGTCATGCAGTGGCTGAACGCTTTCAGGATTTCTGGCGGGAGTCTCTTGACCAGGAACGGCTGGGCGCTGGCGCGGAGTGGTCCCAGATCCCAATCCAACACCTTGTGCCACGCGTCCTCATCCTCAGCGATCTTCAGGTATGCCCTCTCCTTGCTGGCAGCCTCGTTGGCCCCCTAGGCTTCTGATTCGCCCACCTGTGCGTTTGCCTCTCTATCATCCCGTCCCCGTCTGCCTCCACGTCGTCCACCCCCTTCCCTGTTTGCGGGGATCCCTTCTTCTGCCTCGACAGAGACATCCTCCGACTCCACCTCCTGTTCCTCCATATATTCTGACCCCTCCTCCCCTGCAGGTTCATTCATTGGTTCAACCCCAGTTTCCTCTGGCCTCCCGTGACTTTCCCGCCAGTTTCCAGATCTGGCCTTCTCCCTTGCAACCGCTCTCACCAGCTCGCCCACGCGCCCGCCTCTGCCCCGCCCTCGTCCGCGGCCTCTGGTGGCCGCTCTCGCCGCCGTGTTTCGCGGCTGTTGTGCCGCAGCTAGGTCATCCGCTCTTTCCTGGAGTGCTCTCTGCCGGCATGTTCCCGCCCTCGTCCTTCGATCTGCGGCGCTCGCCGCCAACACCACTTCCTCCTCTTGAGCATCGACATCTGCCTGCTCTGCCGCCCGACGCTCCACCTCCACCTCCTCCCGTGCCTCTCGGTGCTGCTGTGATGACGGGCAAGCGTCCACGGCGGGAGCGCGCGGCGGGGTACCCTGCTGTTCCCAACCCGCCAGAGGCCCAGGGCGGGCTGGCGCCAGTCCTACTCCGAGCCGCCGCTGCCCTGGTCGAGCACGAGGGGGCCGGGGCCCCCTCTCATCCCCGTGAGCCGGTGTATCGCTCACCCCGTGGGCGTACTCATCCTCATCTGAGGGCCCGTGCAGGTTCCTTTCGTCGTCGCCGACCTCCACGCCCTCCGCCTGCTCTTCAGCGACAGATCGTGGGGCCGCATCTCCAGCCACGCTCTCCTCTGGTGTCTCAACCGCATCCTCCACTGCCTCCACCAGCGCTGTCTCAGCACTCTTCTCAGCAGCAGTCGTCCGGGCCTGCTGCGTCGTCCCTCCCGCTGGCCCAGCCCTCGCCGCCGTCCGATCTGCCGCTATCGGCGTCGACCTCTCACCCGCATCCTCCTCCGCTGCCTCCGCCGACAGTGTCCTCTGTTGGGGCACCTCTCGTGCCCCCCCTGCCTGAGCCGTCGCTTGTTGCTGCCGATCCACCTTCTGAGCTTCCGCAGCGGCAGCACCCCCTCGTTCCTCTCGGTCTAGCCCCTGTCGCTCGCTTCCCTCCGCCACAAGCGCGGTATCCTGAGCTTCTGCCCGACGCACCTGATCTTGAGGACGACGAGAAGTGGTGGAACGGTGAGCTGTAGGAGTCTCCTCCTCAGTCCGGGACGACGTGGGGTTGGGACTGGGACATCTTGTCCGGCTTCGTCCTTGATGTCCTCCGTTGGGAGCAGCACATGATTGGTGTTGGCGAGTGCCTCTCCCACGTGGTGACGGCGCTGGAGCAGCTGCTTGCCGGTCTGGAGGCTCGGAACTTCGTGCTGCGGGATCCCAAGCTGACCGAGCAGCAGCAGGGTGTTGTCCGTGCGGCTGCGGCGCAGGGCTTGTGGAGGCTCCTCCGCTTGCCCCTTGAGTCCGAGCATCCTGACGAGAACGAGGGGCCAGGCGCGAGGGCTTTCCGCTGGGTAGCCACGGCTGCCGAAGAAGCACCCCTGCAGCTTGTGCCTGCGCTCGCGTCGTTGCTCCGCTGGATCCGCCGGCGGTTTTACGTGTTGAACCACGTTTAGCGTCCTGCCCCTTCTGGGCTTTGCCATTTGCCTTCTTGTTCCCCATCCTCTCCCTATCCTACTTACCTTGCCCTTGGTTTTAGGGCGTAGCTACTGCTGCATGTTGTATGTCCTGCTAATGATCAATGTTGCTTGTTCCTTGCCACCCCTCACGCGTGGCCGAAGGCCCGCCGATTTTGCAGTGAGAATGAACTCACCACCAAACAACGAGGAGGAGAGTGGGCTCCTTGCCCTTATATACTAGGGAACTAGGCTGATATGGCTAAGGACTAGGCTAGGCTAAGGAACTAGGCCGAAAAATGGCTAAGGACTAGGACCCAAGGGTCTCTCTCTCTCTCTCTCTCTCTCTCTCTCTCTCTCTCTCTCTCTCTCTCTCTCTCTCTCTCTCTCTCTCTCTCGCTCTCTCGAACGAGCCGCCGATTTTGCAGTGAGAATGAACTCACCACCAAACAATGGGGAGGAGCTTGGACGCCTCCCAGGAGGTGGGTGCCGCGTTGAACCGCCGTTTGGACGCGAGCACGGCACAGCTCCGCAGGAAAGCGTGCACCCCGGAAGATGGGTACCCATACGGGTACCCAGACGGAATCCCACCCAAGCGTTCCGACGGGCGTACTTCTCTTCCTTCTTTGTAACTGCTATTTCCGCCGCCCTTCCCGGCTCGCGTCTTGCAAACTTGTCCTGGTGGGAGATGGGGTCCGTTACTGTGAGATCGCACATCCAGACTTCTCCGGTGTCGGGATGACGAATGGCTATATACGCCTTAAGGTTCTCGTAGATTGTAGATTCTTTGTGCACAGTGAACCCGGCTTCCGCGGCAATTCTGGCGCACTCGTCACGTAGGGCTTGGTGGGTAGCTATCCTCCCCCCTCCCTTCTCACAGCGCATGAGGTGGTTCGGTAGGCGGTCGTCTAGGAAAGTCGTTCGGTAACGGCAGTCACAGTGCCTCGGAACTAGCAGGGGGAGGCCTAGGCGGAAGGATGCTGCGGAGGAGAGCTATGATGGCCTAGTCTGAGGGCCGGGATAATGGGGAGGGTGAACGCCCAGTCCCCCGCGCCGGGGCCGAGGAGTGATTGCAGCCGCTGCATGTGGCCGCATAGAGGGTTTGGGACCATCTCCCGTGAGTCGTCGACGAGGCCGATGTAGCTGGTCGTGTGGACTGCTAGGGACAGCGCTTGTTGCAGCTTGGCGCTGTTGGGCTTCCGTTTGCCGGCTTGCAGCGCCTCAAGAGCCTCTGGCGGCAGCCTAGATTCTGCCGCTGCTAGGCGTCTCGGGAGCGCATCAGGTGAGTCCGCGTCGGCGTCCATCAGAGGGAGAAGGCGTGTAACTGCTGGGTGAGTTGAGGTGCTCAGCGACTGCAGCAGGTGCGCGATGGCGATGATTGATGCTAGGTAGGCGGAGCCTCCTTCAACTGCAGGGTTTGTGATCCCCAGGCCACCTAGAGTCACTGGCATAGCCTCCTGGCGCCAGATCCGCTCTCTTTCCTCCAGTGGGCGTGGCGTGGAGATGCGGGCTGCGGCCAGGAAGTTGTGGAGCAGCTGCTCTCCCCATGCTGACCATTCTTTAGCTGGCAGGGCTTCTAGCGGGGTGGTTTTGACGAGGAAGGAGGCACGGCGGCCAACACAGTGTGTGAGCAGCAAAAGGCAGAGCTGAGGGTCCATCTGGGACAGGACTGGGAGTGGTTCCGCTGCTGTCGCGAGGCGCTCTCGTATCGTCGCAGCGCAGCCCGCTGCCTTGCCGATGGGGCTACCTGAGACGCGGATCCCGTCTGGTGGGGTGGGAATGCCGGGTGGGAGGGTAGTGTGGTTCATCGCCGAGGCTGACCAAGCCTCGCATTTCTCAGGGTTGTGTGCGAGGCCGAGCGTGGTGAGGGCGTCGGCCAGGTGCGTGAAGGCCGCCGTGCAGTCTGCCGCTTCGCCCAGGACTGTGATGTCGTCCGCATATGCGAGTATCACCACTCATGGGTGTGCTGCTGCGGTGGCTTCGAGGCAGGGGTGGATGCTTGCCGCGAACAGCAGAGGGCCGAGTGGGTCCCCCTGGCGCACGCTGCGTGCGCTTAACAGAAGAGCGGCCTCGTACTCTTGGTCTAGGAAGAGGGACGAGGGGCAGCCGTACGTGAGGCGGACCAGTGGCACCAGGGATTCTAGAGCGCTGTTCTTGAGGCCATTAAAAACTGCGGTTCTTTCTACCGCATTAAACGCGTTCGCCAGGTTGATTTGGACGGCAAATGCCCCTGGGTGCTCCTCTAGAAACGTTCTCGCCGTGTGGATTGCGGCCTCTATACCTCCCGCGAACGCCATACCAAACTGCAGAGGTGCAAGGTGGTCCCGAGCCTTCGGAGCGGTTAAGAACCATGCTGCTTTGGCGACTAGGCGGAGTAGATAATTCTCCCACGGCTATTGGCCTAGTTCCTCCCTGCGGCTTTGTAAAGCCTAGAAGGCGGGAGGATGTGAGGAGTTTCGCTGCTTCAGTGTTCAGCTTCCCTGTTAGTGCCGTATTCGTGAGTGCGTGGAGCTGTGTGAAGACGTCGGCGTTTCCTAGAGCGGCGTCTCTAAGATGCTCGAAGGTTGTACCAGAGGGTCATGCCCCTACTCCGTTGGGGCACTTGGCGAGCAGTCGTCTGAAGTCGCGGGCGGTAATTGACGGAACGGACTCATGGGCAAATGAAGGGACCCAGTCTGGGATGTGGTGCTTGGAGCGATTTGGCCAAGTTGCCTCGTTTGGCTAGGCCCTCCGCTCAGGCGAGTACACCTGTGGTGTCAGGCATGTGGTGCGGCTGGGGTGGCACTGTGATTGCATGGACCGCCTCGTCATAGAGGCTCCTCCACTCTCCCTGGTGAAAGCGTAGCAGTCTGTCACCCATCCCTCTCCAGTAAGGGCGCTTGGCTGACGAGGTGCGCAGAAGAATTTGCGGGAAGAAAATGAGTAACCTCCATCCAAGTGTCGAGTCATGGTCTTTGGCGATGTGCAGTAGGGGTGTCAGGAGGCAGCGAATTTTGCAGGGTAGGTGTCGAGCGAGTGGGGGTTGTCTGTTGTCGCGAAGGGGGCCCAGGTCCCATGTGGCGACGTTTTCTAAGAGGTCCGGGCGTATCGCGAGGTCCTCGGAGCTGATGATTGGTAGGCATGGGGTGGGTTCTGGCGCGCCCCCATTGGTTGGATGGGGTAGAACTCCAACATTGGGTGCGACTTGATTTACCCTCGCGGCTCGATTTCGGTTGGGGGATTGAAGTGCAGATGCGGCTCGGGAATTTTGGGGAATGTGTCCCACCCCTTCGGTTGGATCGCCCTCGTCCTCCCTAGTCGATGGAGTCGAAACCCCCTCGCTTTCTAGGTTAAATGCTGGGTCACCTGATGAGTTCTCGTCAGATTCGCCAAGTGCCTCTACTCCCTCTCCAGCTCTCTCCCGCAGGATCCGCTGTGCCGCCCTCGCGTAGCTACTTGAGCCCCTACGTTGGCTGGGGCGACTCGCCCCCGTCCTCCTCGTCTACCTCCTCTCCCCACGCGAATTCCTCCTCTTGGCGGTGCTCTTGCCGAGGCGGTTGTTTGCCTCTGCAGTGACGTAGCATCTTCAGTTGCTTCTCCTGGGCGTTGCCCCGCTGGCGTCCTCTGCTCACGCCTCCGCGGTAATGGAGCCGACCGCGGGTCGCGGCACCGTGAGGGAGGGGACCGCGGAGAGTGCCCAGCCAGTCGCACCTATGGCGGCTCTTGTGGCGGCTCCTCGGTGTGTTGCAGCTCGTCATATATTGATAGGGTTCATAGGATACAAGCAAGGCAGGCACTGGCGTAAACTAGGCAAGGGAAGTAAGCAAGCAGGCAAGCACAAAGTATGCAGGAAGGCTAGCAAGCGAACAACCGGACAAGCAGAGTTGTCCTGTGCCAGCAAACAAAATCCAGGCCAGTCGAGCACAGCCAGCAAGCCCAAGGCACAGCAAACCTGCACCAGCAAGAAGAGGCCAGGCCCTAAGCAGACAGCAGTACCGGCGTCATACCCTCTCTCCACCCAAGTGCCCACTTCCGTCCCCTAGCCGATGAAGTTCTCTAGTCTGTATCCTTTCAAGCCGCCTTGGCCGGGGCCTGCCTCTCCTCATACTCGTCCTCAAGCCAAAGGTCCCCAAGCCGGGGCGCCCAGGGGTCAGCCGCTGTTTGGGGGAAGGCAGCCTCTGCAGTCCGATTGGATTTGGAGAGGAGGGAGATGGCCTGGCTGCGCTGGAGCATCACCGACCACTTCTGACGGTAGTGTGCGTTGAGTCGAGCGGCCGTGGTGGTGAGGCGGCCCTGTATGAACTTCTTCTTGGCTGCGTAGGTGGCCAGCATGCATAGGAACTGCACAGTATCTGTTGCCATGGCTCCGTAGGTCTTAACTGTCAGCCCGAAGAAGCCGGCGTAGCTGGGGCGTCCCTCATATAGGCGGTATTTTGCCTCTGAAGCTTCTTCCGCCGCCCATCCCGACGGCTTACGAGCTCTCTTATCCCTCTTTTGCAGCGGCGCTTGGCTAAGCGCGCGATGTTTGTCGTAAGAAGAAGTAGCAGTAAATTTTGAAGTTGTTTTCAGGGGTACCAGCGACAGCAACAACAACACGGTGGAGAATTTTTCCAACAGAAGGGGGGAGAAGCGACAGGTGTTTCCGCCTCTGCCCGGATTTTCTCGGCGGGTCAAGACAACGGCGCCGAGGTTGCTGATATCATTTGCGGGTTTAGTTCGAGTTTGAAACTATATTTGCGAGGTCATGGGGAGGAGCAGCAGCTGTATGACGCTCCTGCCCGAGAGTTTTCGGAGAGCCATGACAAATGCCTCAGCGAGTTACGACAAAGCCGTCGGGGGTGCTGACATCATATGAACCCGAGTTTGGTTTTCGAAGG